ATTAAATATTCTGTAGATTTTTTCTTTTTGCAGATTAACTATTAGACCAAATTTATACAAAAACCAGATATGATATTTTATAACTTGAGCAATCTTGCAACATCTTAAACCATTTCAGATGTAAAAGATAATTCCTTCAGCCGATCACGGAGTTCGAGTGTAACCAGCATTGACAAAGAATCCCGAGAGGCGATCTCTGCTCTTCATTTCTGTGAAACTTTTACTCGAAAGACAGACTTATCCCCTTCCCCTTGTCTGTGGGTTGGAACAACTCTAGGAACAGTGCTTGTCATTGCACTGAACCTTCCCCCAGGGGGAGAACAAAGACTTCTTCAGCCAGTAATTGTGTCTCCAAGTGGTACGTATGTTCTGCTCTGGTGCTGCACTTAGAGTTATATTACAGATGTGATTTAATAGAAGCCTTTGCTTTTCATTCTTCACATGATCTGAGAATTCTAAAATGTAAAGTATATGGCGATAGTGACAGCCATATGCTTTAAATGCATAAGGAATACATAAGACAAGATTTCAGAATATTGTTTATTTATATAACCATTCAGATTTTACAATTTTTGTAACTCTAGGATCATGTGTAAAATAATTACCACATAAAAAATGAAAGAAAATGATTGTTACAATAATGCATTCCTAATACCTCAAAATATTATATTCCACAAGCAAAAGAATGCTACCCACATGTATTAATATTTAGAAGAAAAACAGAAAATTATATTTTTAGACATTCTACATTGGGTTATTTTTGATCTGTAAGTGTGAAATCTGAGATTATTTTTCTTCTTTGAAGTATTAGGATAAGGTGACAATAGCAGATTTTTTAAAAATTTATAGTCTTCGTATATTGAAAATGATATAGGATTTTATCAACTGTTTGTAGAGTCTATCAAATGTTTGTAGAGTCTGTTGGGTCTAGAAATAACAATTCTGCTTTTTGTTACTACTCATTTATGTTCATCTAGATAGAAACAACCATGATTTTGCTCATTAATATAGCTCTTGTTTGCATAATAAACTTTCACAACTCTTAGAATTTATAATTAAAATTTATCATGGTTTTAAGTTTATTTCTGAGCTATCTTCACATTAAATAAGCAGTTTGATTTATTAATTCAGCTCAATAAATACTTGAGTATATGCTGTACACCTAGTTGTTAAGGAAAACATGATACTTGATGATATTCTTAATAATCTCACTTCTTAGTAAGAAACAAATAATGTGTTTAGGAATAAAAAAACTAGAAAGGTGAAAATCAAAATATTAACAGGAATTATCATTGGTTAGTCAGATTTGGGGTAATTTTTTTTTCTCTTTTTACTGATTTCTAGTTTCTAAATTTTCTACAAATAACGTGTGAGTTTATAATAAGGAAAACATTGTTTCCAATAAATAAAAGTAAAGGAGAGGGATTAAATATAGATAATTTACTATTAAGTATTTAATACATTAGCTTGAAATAAAATCAAGTTAGCTATAAGGTTACTTTGATATAAAAATAATTTTCATAGATAGAAAGGAACCTTTTAGTTCCTTCTCAATGGTAGGATATCTGAGATTTGTTTTTAATAAGATGCCTATTTAAAAATATATGAATGACACCTCTATCATGTTATCTGTATTGGAACTGTGAGAAAAGAGTATTTTCAAGCAGATGGGCTTCTGTGCTTAAAAATATGAAATAATCTACTTTGTCCACTATTGTTTTCTCTTTTAAGAGAGTTACCACTATTCTACTGGGAAACATGCTAAAATCCAGTCACCAATAGGACAAACATACATTTAAATGTTATTTTGGGC